TGTATTTAGTAATCCAATTACAGACAGGGGTAAACAAGGATAAAGATTTTTTTTTCTTTCTAAATTTAAATCAGACCTCCACTTAGCTGACCTTGAACTATTCTTTGGTAAAGAAAACGGGTAAAGGAGGGGCAGTGCTCAAAATTTCTATCATTTTGCTTGAAGTTTCTTTTTCTTCACGTGCTTTTTCAAAGGAAAGATATGGCTATTATTATTTAGACAATTACTCCGAGAAAGTCACAAACTTTTCAAGGACACCATCACTGAATCTATAGACTGTTCGAGGCCCTGATTTTTTCCAACAAAATTTGAGGAGTTTCAAGGTTTTTCAAGTATCGTACGAACCTTTTATATAATGTTAAATATTTCTAAATACTGCAATGTAATGAGTCAAAATTAATACATTTCGAAGTTATTAATATATAACTGTTACAGTTAAGCTTCGTTTATTGTATACATATATACTTTGAAATTCGTATGCGATGACCTATAAATAGATCAAGATCAAAAAAATGCTTATTTTATTTGATAGTCTAAAAATTAAAAATGATATGTTTATAAATAAAATTAATTGCTTTCGTAACTAAAGCAAATAGCTGAGGTTAAATTTAAAGAAAAAAATAAACTCGTAAAATTATTACGTTCAAATTCTGCTATATATACGTAACATAAAAAGCTTTAATAAATATATTTATGTTATTTCGTTAGCTAAATTCTCTCTCTTAATTTATTATTCAAAACTAAGAGCTTTCTCATACTTTATTTTTCACATCCTGTCTTTTAATCTCTTTGTAGTTCAAGTATACATGAATTAACATTTTATTGTTTTCCCTTTACTAAGTGTAAGAATCACATTATTCCCTCGACTTATTTAATGGACCAATTGTAATTTCTCAGGGTTCCCCTTTTCCATGAGACGTAACATGTCATCAGGACTATTTTGCAAGATTTTCCCCAATTTTTTATTCAGAAACGCTTCGATTTTGCGTCACTTGGAAGCTTAGCTCTCTCAAAGATAATGCTTTAATAAATATAATTTACGAATAGCTTGATGCCTGAAGACTGCTTTATCCCACCTCTCGTCAATTATCTTTTTATCCATTGTAAACTTAATATTTTTTTTCTTCATGGAGAGATAAAAGATTCATAAACTATAGGTGATATTCTCCCAATTTGACGAGAGAAAAACACATTAATTATGTTCCTTTTCGCATCTTGTAAAACGTAAAAAAAAATAAATGAACCGTGGCAGTAACTACCGAAAAAAGATCGACGACAAAATCATGCGAATCGGACATTTTAAAAAGGGGTTATTAAAATGTTTGTTTTGTTTCAAGATTTACTTGTTGTAGCAAATAATATCGCATTAGAAAAATGTCTGATTTTAAAGACTGGAATCGAAAGCAATAAGTCCCAAATAATCAATCGATCGAACAAAACAATAGGATCATTGCGTCAAAAAATAAATACTCAGAGGCTCAATCCGAATTTCTCCAACTGTCTAAAATATATCGAGATCTTAAAAAAACATGTGATAATTAGTATAAATAATTTAAAAAAAAAAAAAATCGAAACACCACACATTTCATCCTAAACAATTTTTGGTACAGGTATTTATTTTCAGTTATGTATTTAATAATTTTCTGTAATGCATTTATCATCTGATACATTCGGTTAGCCGGGATAGCCTAGTTGGCAAGGGGCTGGACTCGCATTTGTGAAGAACTGGAGTTCAAATCCAGACAGCCAAAGACTCCCTGTGTAGTAAATGGTGACTGGTGCACGTTATCGGGTCGAGCCGCGATGGTTCAGGGGATAGAGTGTTCGCCTTCCAATGAGGTGAACCGGGGTTCGATCCCGGTTATGGCAGGTCGCTACGAATTCCGCATCCGGCTTGCACCCACCACAGTGCTGACGTGAAATATCCTCAGTGGTAGACGGATCATGGGTCAGAGTCCCCTTGCCGTCAAGCTAACCATGGGAGGATCTCGTGATCTTCCTCTCCATGTAAAACAAATACGGGTTAGTTCCACCAAGAAAGTCCTCCACGAAGGCAAATTTCTCCCAATACTTGATCCAGGGGTTCAAAATTACAAGGTAACGGAGTTGAACATTAGTAGTCATAAACCCAAAAATTTGGTCGGCTGTTCAACGACGGTTATAAAAAAATCCCTCCGAAGGTTATAAAAAAAATCAAAAAGCCCTCCATGTTCTCATAAGAAATTATACCTCTGGGGTTACTGAATTAGAGATTGATCGTTCTCTGGTTCAGATCAATGAATGGGTCCACTGTATTAACGGGTGTGGCGTATGGGTGTAACAGAAGTCAAATTCTTGGCCAAAGATAGCGTTACTGGAAAACAAGATATATCTCACACCCTCTGCTTTAATGGCAAAAGACAGCGACAACACATATTTGGTTATATTCTGCAATATAATAAATATGCGATATCCATTTTATTATTTTTAATAAAACTACTTTTAATCATAAACATAAATTCTGTGATGGTGAAGGACTCAGTGAAGCCAACCCAACGTTTTTTCTGGAAAGATGCCCTTCCTCGAAATCGTGGAGACTCTTCTCGGCTCACATCGGGCTTTTGAGGAAAGAGTTTACCATAAGTTTTACTGTTTTTATCGAATAAAATATTAGCATGAAACGCCGTAGTTGGTTAATAAATAAGGGCAAAATAATAAGATCTTGATGCAGCCTTGAATGTTACATTATATAGCGATAACTAATATATGTTAGTTTAAAACAAAACTTAATGGAAAATGAAGAAAGCAATTATCAATCGGTATTGAGTTTATTTGCTCACGAAATACATTTGCATATAGTCAGATTAGTAAACGAGGCCAGGCCATGACCACCTCCAAGATGATAATAATTTTACATTTTGCCAACCTTGCCGCCTTCAAAAAAAGAACGTCTTCATATCGAAAAAAACCACCCAGCAGTCCCAAATAATAATAATAATGTATCACGAATTGTAGAAAAAATAAGTGTGAATTACTCTTGAGCCTCTCTATGAATAATAAATCAGTAATGGTAAAATAGTCAAACTCTCAATATGCATAAAATTTCGTCATGTCTTAACTAAATTGCATCAACACCTTTTGATGTTGATTTTTTTACAATAGTCAACCAATGTAGATTCTCTTTTTGGAAAATAAATCGTTAACTCACGAATAGTGCATATACAATGCATTGGTTTCAAAGTTTTCATAATTATGTGGGTGTTAGAACCGACATTTGTGAGTTATTCTATTGTTTTGACTGACAGTTACTGTGGGTAAGAAGAGGTTTAACTGTCTAGCCAGAGTATCATTAGATAATAATTTTTTGATGGTTTGCGATAACCGTCTAATCAAGTTGTTATTTTGTTGATTTACAGGAAGAGATAAATTTTTGTGCTAAAAAGAATAAATATTAGGTTTTGGGAAAAGTTTTTTTTTGGTGCCTTTAACTTCCTACCGGGTTTTATGCGATATATTTTAAATATACGAAGCATAATCTACAGTTTGGATAAGCTTAAAAAGCATATTAAAGTTTTATTTAGAACTAAATATTGTTTTTTAAAGAAAAAAATCAATGAAACTAATTTTTTTTTATCAACTTTTGAAAATGAAACTTATTGGCTTAAAATCAAAAACAAAAAAATGTATTAATAAATAAATTATAAGTGGTCTAAAAAATATAGAAGTGGTAAAATAAAATATCTCTATAAATATGCATCGAATGAAAAATCTAAAATAAATTAATAACTAAAAACAGTGGTTAAATATTTTCAAAGTAGGGGTGCGGTGGAAGAAACTTCAAACCCTAGTTTGTATTGCAGATTTTCAGGAAAAAAAATGTCACAAATTTAGTCAAAATGGTTCAAAAATGGCGTCGTAATCGCAAATGAAAATGGGAAGCAAATTCTTTAAAATGAAGATATCTCATAATAAATAATCTACAGCTCGACATAATTTCAAAATAATATTCAGTTCGAAATAATTTACATCTCGACGTATATAGAATCCTACACATTTCAAATAAATATAGATGAGTTTGATATTTTGAAAATCTTTCCAATGGTATGCCTAGTTCTGAAAACTTATTGCTAGTTTTACTGACTATATTCTGACTCCCATTATAATTTTTTAAAACACATTCCTTTGCTAAATATTGTATTTATTGCACAGTTTCACTTTAATGAAATGCTACCATGTGAGTTATAGTGTCGGAGTATTTTACTAAATAAATTAAAATTTTTTTAAAAAATAAAATCAGTTTAATTCCTCGAATAAGTCGTTCCACAAACATATTAAAATGAAAGACCTTTTTTATCCTTTTATAACTCAAATGCACAGAGCAATATCTTTAATAAATAATAGCACTAGAATTGCTTTAAAAAAATACTGTACTGGAAATTTTTTTTCCTCCATATTTTTTTATATGATATATTAAGAAACGTTTTAAGAATAAAAAATCTTAATATATATATATATATATATATATATATATATAATGTTGCATATATATGATGTTCAAAATCTTAAATTTACAAAGAACTATATTAACTTTATCTTTCCAATTATAGCTATACACAAGTATCTCTGGTTATTTAGTTTAATTTTCTTTATATTTAATTATTGAAGATAAGCAGAGATGTTGATATGAAGAGAGCATAATAAAAACCGATTGGCAAAATTTATCCACCTCATTGAAATTTTGAATTAAATATTAGGGATGCATCATGTAAAGATTTTTAAAGCATAATAAATATACAATCAACTAAATACATATGATAAACTAAAACCTTAGAGTTNATATATATATATATATATATATATATATATTAGAGAATTTTTTTTTTAATTTATAAAATGTTATATTTTAATGTAATATTCTAAGAGAAATGAATGATTTAATGTGCAAAATCGAAGCGCTTGAAAATAAAGATATAAATCATGAAAAATTAAATAGTAAAAGAGTGATAAGAGACAATACTTACAGTTTAGGAATCTGAATTCTGTCGAGCTCAGGATGACGTCCGTATTCTTGCCAAGATTTTCTGGAAGAACTTGCTGGCCTACTAGGCATTAAATCTGTTTGTAAGATGCTTGGTGTTTGAGAAAGATCGGAATAGTCAAAAACCTGAAGGAAAAAAAAAAAATTTTTTTTCAAAAATAGAAAATTCTAATTTAATTCTAATAACACTATTTTTTAATTCGTATTTTTAAATTTTCTAATATTTTATATAAAACCATTCTTTAGAATTTCTTAAAGGGTTAAAACCAGAGAGAGTCAAAGTTATGTATTTGTGCGATTTTTTGTCTTTCGAGTTACCAATATTTTAAATTAGTAACCAACTTGTGGGAACACATAATAGAACCGCCTGCAAATCGTGAGCCACGCAGTTAATCCTAAATCAGGGCGATATATCGTACAATATCGCCTTTTTTGAGACACATAATAACGATGTTTACAGCATATCCTCAGGATACATCCTGAACACAATATTATCGAATACATGACATTAATTAATAACGATGAATATTAATTAATAACGATGAATATTAATTATTGACAATGCTAAATACAGATGCTTATTAACAACGATATGTACTGGAAATTATCATCCACGATATTATCAAGAGTATCAATAAATATAGGATGTTAACCAGCAAAACTCTTTTAATGAAGAGGAAGAATATATTTTCAAAGCAAATGTGAAGACAAGAGCAGTCGATCGAATTTTAAGAAAGTTTGGAGAAAGCATTCATCCTGCAAATGACTGATAAAGGAAGTTCACACACGAAAACAATGCTCTGAATATTGTTTTTGTGTGTTATGTATTGTTAAATTTTTATAACTTCTCATTGTTACTTTTAAAATTACAATTAAATTTTTTTTCTTCTTTGTTTTTTTTTCACCCATAAAAAAATAATGTAATCCAGTTTTAATAAAAAAAAAAATAGCAATTTGTCATAGAAATTGGTATTTTCTGACAATATATTGTTTTATTAAAATCCTTGATGTAACCTAAAGACCACCGATTCTAATGCTTCATTGGCAGAGAAATTAAGAAGAAAATTTTTCTTTGCCTCTTTATTTTTAAAAGAGCTACGTAGAAAGACTTGTAATTAGGTACTTTATTTGTTCAGAAGAAGTGAAACACTTTTAAATTAATTCTAAGATATACTCTAAACTTGACCCTAGAAGACAATCAGTATAACGAAATGACTTCGAGAAAAAAAAAAGAAATAAAATAATTATACATTAAAAAACGGAAAATAAGTAAACTAGCAATGTCCGGATTGGAATAAGGAGTTGAAGATTAAATGCTTAGTAAGAGGGTTGCTATTTATATTTCTGGCCTTGGCAACAGTAAGTGTTGCTAGGCGACCGCAGACGATCATAATCGAAAGTTTGATATTTTTAAACATAAATTCAGCAGACGATTTACCATTATAGCTTCATTTGTGTTGTTGACAGTAAATTGAAAAGTTCTTCTCTTTCAAAAAATGGAATTGAATCGTGAACATTTTCGTGCCATTATTTTTCATAACTTTCGACGTGGATTGTCAAGACAAGAGTGCTTCGATGAACTTAATTCTTTATTCAGCGATAAAGCGCCATCCTACAGCACTGTAAAAAATTGGTATAACGAATTTAATCGTGGTCGATGTTCGATCCAGGACGAATCCCGTGCAGGTCGTCCAAAATCCGTTGTTGTGCCAGAAAAGATCGATGCTGTGCGTGAACTGATAAAGCAAGATCGTCATGTGACATACCGTGAGATAGAGGCGTCTTTGGACATTAGTATGACTAGCATCAATAAAATATTGCATGAACATTTGAGCGTAAAAAAAATTTGTTCGCGTTGGATCCCGCATAATCTGACAAACGCTCAAAAAAAGGCTCGTGTCGATTGGTGCAAGGAAATGTTGGAAAAATACGTTCAAGGTACATCAAAGGCTGTGTATAACATCTACACAGGTGACGAATCATGGATCTATGCATATGAGCCGGAAACAAAACAGCAATCAACTGTATGGGTCTTCCAAGACGAGGCAAAACCAACAAAAGTTGTTCGAGGAAGAAGCACATCGAAACAAATGATTGCCTGTTTCTTCGGCATTAACGGTCATGTGGCAACAGTGGCGTTAGAGCAACGCAGGACGGTCAATTCTGAATGGTACACGACCATTTGTTTGCCAGAAGTCATCGGAGAAATTCGAAAAAAGCAGAAGAACAGGCGAATCATTCTTCATCATGACAATGCGAGCTCTCACACATCGACTCAAACAAAGGCATTTCTGACGGAGCGAAAGATCGAACTGATGGGTTATCCGCCGTACAGCCCTGATTCAGCACCCAATGACTTCTTCTTATTCCCACACATCAAAAATAAATTACGTGGACAACGATTTTCGACCCCCGAAGAAGCGGTTGATGCATTCAAAACGCATGTTTTGGAGTTACCTCAATCGGACTGGAAAAAGTGCTTTGAAAATTGGTTCAAACGCATGCAAAAAAGTATTGATCATCATGGAGAATATTTTGAAAAACAATAAAACCAATTTCGATCCTACATATTTGTTTCTTCATTATTAGGCCAGAAATATAAATAGCAACCCTCGTAGCAGCATAAAAATTAGAAATTACGACCAATATGACATGCACTAGGTAGGTAGGTAGTCATTTTATTTACGTCGCACTAGAGCTGCAGAATGGTCTATTGGCGATGGTCCGGGAAACATCCCTGAGGATGGTCCGAAGACATGCCATCACAATTTTTATTCGCTGCAGAGGGAATTGGTCCCCTGGTTTGGTAGTCCGACGACCTAAGTGCGAAGTCGAGCACTTTACGGTAGAACAGTTTAACGAGGACCGATACCGCGCACCCTCGGTCCCTACGCAGGCTGATCACCTATCCGCTTACTGACCCGCAGCCAGTGATGCTTGACTTCGGTGTTCTACTGGGAATCTTATCTTTACGATCAGTCCACTGCGGGACTGGCATGCACAATATCGTAAAGTAATTTTGAATTATAAAATGTTAGTTTCTCTCTTTTTTAACTTCAGAACTATTTGTTCTATCATCCTTGAAATTTAGATTTATTTATTTCAAATATCTTAAAGATTACCTGAGCTCTCACTATAAAGAGTTTCTTACATGCACATTAATAATTTTTATGTCAAATAAAGTCCACATGATCCACATGAAGCGTTGGCGAATTATGCCATCAAATTAGTATCACTTAATTTTGCCACTTTTGAAGCGTGAATCTATAACACTGAATAATTTAAAACATCAACTGTAATTTAAATAAAAAAAATAAGTCACGCATTCAAAAGTAAAATGAAAGGTGAAATAGTAGTATTGAACTTGTCTAGAAAAGCTATATGCACGTCGCACTGTAGGGCGGGAAATGTGAAGAAAGCAATTACACACTTGAAATTTGAAGGCCATTTTTGTTAATGAACTCGAGCTTTTTTTCAAATTCTAATTTGTTAGAAACGATTGATTAAGGCTTATAAACGAAAGTGTGTTTAAAATGTATAAGGAGTACGATGGGGTGAAAAGATATCGATATTAATAGTCTATTATTAAAAAAAAAAGAAAGAAAGCGCGTGCTGATCTACTGTCTGCTGAACTGCAGAGTTGAAATTTGACATGCTGAAAGGGCCATTTTCATTTATGAACTTAAAGATTTTTTTAATAGCTATTGCAAGTCCTTATTGCAAATTTAAGTGCTGTTTTCGTAAATATTTCTTCTTTTACTTTTTTTTTAATGTAAATAATTTCTTTTCTCAAAATTTTAGTTTTAAAAGCTTGCCCTTGACTTGATTTAATAAAATGAAAAAGAGGAAGAAATTGGACGTTATCGCACATAAATCTGAACCTTTGAAGAATCAGGTAAGTGACATTTTCAGAGTGTTTTTAAACAGGGTAGGAAGAAATAAGTAACATCAGAAATATTTTAGTACAGATATTTTAAAAGGCGAGGCTAATAATAATTTGCCTTAATTTATTTACCACTACCAAATTGGAAATAAAAATCATGCAAGCAAACTCAAAACTAATGTAGATTATTTAAGTTAAAACTGAAGTGAAAACAAAAGCAATTCTGTTACATTAAACTTACTTATATTGATGCGATCATTTTGTATTATTTTCCCTGATTAATAAAATACCTCTGAAAATGTCACTTACCTACATCTTTCACTGTTTATTTCCAAGTTTTTATAAATGTAAGAGGCTCAACAGAGATAAATATCATTTCCAATTTAATATAAGATTTCCGTTACATTATTAAGTTACTCCTATCAATTTCATCTTTTATATTATAAGGCTATAGTTACATATTGGTGACAAGTAAAATTACTTCTAATTTATATCTTCTCATCGTGTCACTCTATTTGTTACATATTCAGAGTTCCTAAGCTTGATTTTTTAAGTGTAGTTGATTTTTTTTTCAAATCCAAATAATCGCGTTCGATTAACATATCAACAAAAATATTGTTACATAAAATTATAATAATTATATATTTTGTAAACAAAATGTTTTTTTTTCAAAATATAGATTTTTCAAAAAATAAATATATAAATAAAGACAAATGCGAGGCAGTCATAGAGGTTGGAGAGGGAGGAGAGAGCCTTCTAATTTAGATAAAAAAACTTATTTATAATAAGAGGAAGTATATTGATAATGATAATGCTATTCATTTTTTTTATTAATCAACACATTAGATATTAAAAGGAAAAAAAGGTAATGATATAACAAAAACATGTCTTAAGCACTTCATTTCATTTGTGAGAGCACTGTAAAATCGCTAAAAAAATTAAAAATAAATGAAAAAATTAAAACATTTTTTGTTCTGGCTATGTTAACGAATGAAAAACATTTAAAAATCTTTTAAACATATATACATTTTTAAGAAATTCAATTTGTTTTCATTGAAAAATTATGTCAGAATAATAATAATCATAATAAGTAATCCAAATTTTGTTATTATGATAATTTCTTTTAATTAAAATTTTATATGTCTCTTACAGTGTTAAAAAATTATAAGATTTAATAAAAAATTATTAAATCCGAGAATTATTGTTTGTTAACGTATAAAACAACAAAGCGAGTGGCTCTGCG